AAATAAGTATGTGTAAATATCATTTCACCCTGCTTTACTTGTATTTTTTTATGTTTATTATTTTGTAATGTTAGGTTATTATTCGAACACTGTATTCGCGGACTGCACGAGAGTTGGTATTTCTTGTATTTCTTGGTTATAATTTTGTCACTTGCTTTCGTTCATTTTGTCTATGTCGGTTGATAGAGTTTTTTGTGGGATTTTTCGATCATTCTTTATTAAGAAGAAGATATAAAACAAAAAAGAGGCTCCAGAGGCAGTCGGACCTACGACCTCCAGTTTACTAGACTGTCGCTCTAGCCGATGTTAGTGGTATATGTAAACATAAGTTTTACAGTTCCGTATATTTCATGGCCACCGACATAATAATGATATTTTGTTATTATAAAACTGTTTGCTTGGAACTTAAAAGTGCTTGTTCTGGTATTTATTGACGAAATTGCCATTACCGAGTTGCTTTCGTTTTTGTCTATGCTTGTTAGAGATATGGCTGGCGGTCCTTATTGTACATGACAGTCGCCAAGGTTTTCATATTTTTTTTCCTGAAAGAATATTTCAAACGATGGTCGGAAAGGTCCGATGGTTTTTTTCGAATATCAAAAGCCGATTTGTGGGCCTTGTGCAATCTACTTCAACTTGGCGTAGCTCAATCTGTCTGATAATTGAGAAATAGATAAATAAATGCACATAATAGCATGATATGTAGGATTATTGCAGTATGCTTTTCTTGGTAAAGTAAGAATTATTCCGCTTTACGTCTCAACATCCAAAAGAAAAAAAGGAACCCAATTGAAGTCAATTTTAAATCAAAATTCAAATTAAATCTATGCAGGACATGAATATTAGATTTTAAATTGATCCTCACAAGAAAAGGTAACATCTAAAAAGAAGGAGTTTAAGTATATACGTACGGCGTAACCTAGTGTGTCTGTCATCTTAAAGGCCTATAAATACGGCGCAACCTTGTGCCTCTGTCATCTTGGAGGTCTATAAGTACGGCGTAACCTAGTGTGTCTGTCATCTTAGAGGCCAAAGTGTCCGTACTATTGAGATTTATTCTTTGCGACTTCATTTTGTTTTTTCCCCCTTATTTTGTTATTTCGTTTTTCATGGATGGGGTTAAATAAATTGTATGTTAATTTCACAATCGGATACCACTCATTCGTTTAGCCTCTTACTTGAAAAATTTAGAAGGCATTTTGACCATGCAGGGGTTATCAGGTCATCTTTAGTGGCCGGAGCAGGAATGAAAGATAGAATAAATACAAAAAAATGGATAAATTTTGATAAATATATCAATAGATTTATAAATATATAAATTTAAAAAGTAATGCATTTACAATAGACTAATCGCTCGCAGCGGTTCTACCGAGTAAGCTAATCTAAGAGTTCTGTCAAACAGTTATAAATATATATAGGTGGTTAACAACGGTTGATAAAAAAGCATAAATAGACTTCGTGGTCGACCTCACAGCCTCTTCTTTATCAAATAAAGTGCTATGTAGTGGACAACTATATTGCAATCGGTACCTTATCTTTCTATCCCTTTTTCCAACTCTGCCTTCGCCCTCTTTCCTTTCCTTTGATAAAAACGTGTTTATTTCCACCGACAATCTGTGTGAAAATAAATAAAAAGAGAACTAGCATTATGAACAACACACTTACTTGCATTGGTTTTTTGTTTTACAATTTTGCACAACTGTGTGGGAAGAGAGACAACTCTCGTTTACGCTCTGGGTTAGGGAAAGTCTAATTAGTCTGACAATATGTGGGATGGGAGATGATTGACTTAAAAGGAGTTAATGAAACGAGACAAATTTAAATTCTTGTCATTTATAATCAATGGAAAATAGAGCTTCGTAAGTGAAAAATAGATATTTCGAATGCTGTCGTTTTATATTATTGTTTACGCAAATAAGTTTAAACAATATATTTTGGTATTCAACAGAAAGAAAACAACCCATGCTATTTAGAATATAGATATTTTAGCTAGTTGTGGTATCGAATGCGTTAAGGATTAAAACAGAATTGTAAAATAAATGAATAAAACATAGATAAAAAAAATAAAGTGGAAATAATAAGATGTCAAGATTGCTCCTGGTACAGTAATGGGAATACTGGTTTATCTGTACAGATAGATGTAGTACACAACATTAGTCCCATACCAGTAAAAACCAGATACCCGTTCAAAGTTGTGAGAGGATATTGCTCTAAATCTGCAAGGTCAAGTTCGTGCATCAACTCTTGCCCACAAGTTAGTCGTCTTAAGCATAAATTTAAGACCGCCCCAGAGCGGACATCCACGCGTAACGTATATACAAAATTAGACTGGCCACCGTCTCTAGAATATTAAATAATTAAGAAAAAACTAACTCTAATAATTTTGATCACTTGGATGTCTGATTCTAGAGTTCTAAGTTCTAAACTAGGGGGAGATAAGCTAGTAGTAAAATGCAGTCGAGAAATTCTTCATAAAAACTTAGGGGCTGGTGGCCAGTCTAATACAAAATGTATATATAGCATATTGAGTTTTCTATTATAAAATATGAGCTACGGAATGATTAATAATATATTACCTGTAACCGAGGCGTAGGCCAAGGTTGGAATGTTACGGAATCTTAGTCCGAGACTGAGATAACCCGATCTTGCTCAGTTACAGGTAATTGATTTTTTTTCTCGCACTTTTTAGTCCAAAAAAACCTATTCAATTTTGATAAAAAAAAAAAATACAAGTATCCCGCCTTGGGCCTCAAATGATAATGACCTCTTCACTACTTGCTACATTTGAATGCTTTCGCGAAAAACAGTGGTCCGTCCTTGCATAGATATTACAACGTATTGCACAGTGTGGATTATATTTTATCTACAACATCAAATATCTGACAACATCAAAACTATACATATAACGACAAAACAGAACATGTATAATGCAAATTGTCAATTTCAAGCAGTTAACACGCGGATGAATACATCGCAGTGTTAAAATTCCGCGAAACGACACGTAAAGGTACTAGACAGATCGGACGAGATAGAAAATTCTAGCATGGGGTATGACGTAGAAGATCTCTGTCTGAGGTGCGAGATTAATAGAATCATTCACCCCCTTTGGGGTGAGATAGGGGAATCTCAACCCAAGGGGGAAGATTCTTATGTTTCCAAACACGAGGCTTTGCCGAGTGTAAGCCTCGTGTTTGGCAACTTAAGAAGCTTTCCCCGAGGGTTGAGATTCCCCTATCTTACCCACAAGGGGGTGAATGATTCTTTTTCTCTTACTCTGTTTTCCCCAATGTGTATCATATACACAATGTAATGATAACGTTACGTGCTAAATTCAGGGTTGACGTGACGTCATTGTAATATTGCAGTGACGTCATACCATTGTTATAAATAGGGGAACCCCCCCGTCTCAACCCTAGGGCGGAGACAGATAAATCTAGCGCCGGCAAAACGGGAGATAAAACTGTCAGGTGTGGAAGAAAGGGGGATCTCAACCTGAGGGGGAAGATTCTTAATTTGCCAAACATGAGGCTTTGCCGAGTGTTTTGGCAACTTAAGAATATCCCCCCGAGAGTTGAGATCCCCCTATCTCGTCCCCGAGGGGGTGAATGATTATTTTTCTCTTACCCTGTTGTTCATGTCCAAGTGTCAGACGAAGCATTTTGTTTGTAAACAAGAACACGTGGGTAGCGTATTAATATTATATGTATGCGTCGGACGGTTCACGCATCATATTTTAAACATTTTAAAATCAATCCCATCAATGTCAAATGTAAACACGACAAGATTAGCAGACTAACTTGTGTATGTGTGTGACCTCATAAAAGTAGTTCTTCCTCTGGGTCACATCAGTGACGTCAGGTTTATTGTGGAGAACGTGCAAAGAGCACGTGAAGCTTGTCTCAACCCTAGGGTGAGACAAGGAAATCTCACACCGGTAAAAGTGCGGATACACCAGGGTAAGAGAAAATCATATCCTACCAAGCTGAAAGTACCACTTCATGTAGGTGATCATTTTGATTGCATAATAAACACTTATGTTTAAAAATTTCAGTTTTAAGTTTCAATATATTTTTTCTTGAATGATTGACTAGGGTGTTATTTATTTACCAGAAACCAAACTAAGACCAAAATGATCTGGTATGCCTATCCAACTTAATTTAGTGTTGAAACCACAGGCATAGCAAAATATCAAGTTACATATTATATGATTTAACGAAATTCATAAACATATTTTAATTGTCTGTAAAGCAATATTGAAGATGTAACATCATTTGTATACATATTTATTCGTCACGTATTAAAAAGTGTTTCCACCTAAAGCTTAAAGTACAAAAACCTAGCCACCATGAAAGTTACTGGTAACACTGAATCATCATGTTTTATCTGTATAGTTTGTGTACTATCAATGTATTTTTTTCAATATGCGCCGATTTTAAATAAAACCTTTGATTTGTTGATTTGATTGATTGTTTGCCATTTTGTTATTATTTTATAAAACAAATATTATTTCTATATTGTTATATAACGTACGTTATTCCCTGCTGCAAGAACGACTTCTAAATAATTTAACACGGCTGGCCCCGGCCGGGTATTTCTGACGACGCAATATATAAACAAAAACTCTCGTCGTCAGAAAGCTACGTTATCGCAGCTAGGCTGGACGTGCCTCGGCCTCCCCCACTGTTAATTCAAATCTATTGAAAGCATGTTAATGTGTCTGGCGAATCATCGAAAAGAAATAAAGAAAAATGAAGATATTAATTAAAACGCACTTTTTCGAGGTTTGTTTTGAGGGGTAAAATGTATCCATATTCTCGAAAACCAGAACAATATTAAGCAAATGAAATTCAATGAAATCAATAGTGGTTCATTAAATAAAGCTCACAGAATTAAAGAAAACAACATGTCAATATTAATATTGGCAGGCTAATTAGCGGTTTTGTTCAACTGAAATAGTAATCGCTCCCTCGGTTCCTATAGCAACAGCCAAACACGCTCCACGCAGGTTTTGGCGGAAGTAGATCTGACACACACATAAACACGTTTCGTTTTGTCCGCGCCAGACGAAGAAGGAGGTTTTAACCAACTTTTATCAAGTAAGGATACATCTGAAATAGATACAGCAAGTTAAAGATAATTTCAGTAACAAGTTAAGTTACAATAGTGTGACAGGTTATTAATATCCTATTCAAATTTTGCAGTTAGTCTCTAAATATGGCCACAGAACGAGGCAACCGAGAACTGAAGCAAAAATGCAAGGCAAACCTTGCAAAAACCACAGATCCCGTAGAAAAATTACGTCTGCAGTGTCTGTCTAGAGGAGCCTCTGGAATTAAAGGAATCGGACGGTAAGTCAATAAAATAGAATTTCAAAATTTTCGTTCATTATAATGACTGAGGACAGTAAGGTCCAGTTATAAAGTAAACAGACTACGTACGGCAAGTCTGATCATGAATGTTGTGGTAGGCTACATGTAAACATATTTTGCTAATTGTATATAACTTGTTGTTGAATACGAAATATGTTACTATATAATGTTGTTCTGAGTATAGTAGACAGAAGTTATTATTGCATAAACATGTTGCATTAATTATAAATGAGCTTGAGCTCTATAAACCGTAGCGTTACCTGGGGTAATACCGTATCGTACTGTACTTACTCTAATAAACATCAGGAGGGACTAGGACATTTTTAACCAAAAGGTAGTGAATATATGTATACTTGTCGTGAATATTTCAACTAAGCTAACATTCCCCCTCTTAAACAAGACGTCTAATAAAAAATAATACTTTATCAGAATATGCATACATTTAAATGTATATAACTTGTTGTTGAATACGCAATATGTTACTATATAATGTTGTTCTGAGTATAGTAGACAGAAGTTATTATTGCATAAACATGTTGCATTAATTATAAATGAGCTTGAGCTCTATAAACCGTAGCGTTACCTGGGGTAATACCGTATCGTACTGTACTTACTCTAATAAACATCAGGAGGGACTAGGACATTTTTAACCAAAAGGTAGTGAATATATGTATACTTGTCGTGAATATTTCAACTAAGCTAACATTCCCCCTCTTAAACAAGACGTCTAATAAAAAATAATACTTTATCAGAATATGCATACATTTAAATGCTATACCTTGGTGTGTGTACAAATGGAGACAAATGGGAAAAAGCTGTTATGACATCGTAATTTGCATAGATCTCAGCTGGGACTAGCATACCGCGTAGATGTTGCTGTAATGTTTTATGTTTAAACTAGATATTGGCCACGGAATTGGAAAAAGTCTTTGATTATGCATTCATACATTTGTATAACTTAATATTATTTTAAAGTCTCAAATATATTTTGGATTAATTATGAGTAGATTCATTTTTTCACAAACGTACACCTCCATGATATCAGGTAGTTTCACACAAAGTCCACTCGGAATCAAACACTTGATCTCACATTACTCCATTAATATATTTCCATCAGAATAAGGTTTCGTTCCGATGATAGTGTACGCAAAAAAGTTGAATCCAATGATAATTTCCCTGGTACAAACCAATGTGGAATAAGTCCCAAATAAATGCTATCCTCTCCTCTTGCTCACTCTCACTTCCTAATATAAAATGTAATTATTTTACAACAATAATGAAACAAGTTATTTCAACTTATATTAGAGTTTGTAGAGCAATGCTTCTTTTCCTTTTTTTATTGTTGTAACTGTTCCGAACACCGAAAAAAACGAAACTAAGAAAATTGATGAAAACTCATTTTTTTTGTATTTTTTCCAAAAAGCCCCCTAACTATCGGAATGCTTAGATTTTCATAAAACCAACTATTCATAGTTGCATAATCATTATATGAAAGTTTCAACGAATTGTGCCGGTTAATTGCCAAAGTGTGGAGCCTCCTTAACAAGAACATCAGTATCGATCTACATCTACATTTAGCCTATGTGAATTTGTCAAGTTAATTAGGGCATATCAGACATCTCTGGACACATCGTCTGTGCTAAATATATGTACTTTATCCTATTAAGTTACAAATATAAGACTATTATAAAGAGTGTTAAAACAGCTTTCTAGAGTTATGCGTATCTATGTTCAACTGCTGTATGTCAATTCTATAACCTGATGTTTAAAATGTTTAGATATGTACATGTAAATTTATTTATAAGATAACGTTCACCTTCTGATTTCCCACGAGCTTGGCTCTCCCAAACCTGTGGATGATGTAAGTTACTGTAATCTATTCAAGCTCTTTTTTACTTACTCGCTATACACTTAAATGTATATCAACACTTACAGGTAAAAAAATACTTCAATTGAAAGTATGATGTCCAAAAAGAATAGTTATATCGTGGACATAATAAACATTATTTAAAATATATGATACTGGCACTACTATATTATAAACAAATCATACAGTATAATAACAAAGGTTTAATAAGCATTTTAAGGTTTGATTTTTATCAATATTTCAAGATTCTGGTGCAATTAGCTTTTAAATCCGTTTTATTATTGAATATTTCGTATTTTAATTTTTCAATGTTTGTCCTAATGTAATTGACCATTAGTAATTTGGGAATAAATCCCTTATTTGACAAATCAACTCTTTTTAACATTTAAGCAAATAATAAAATTCATCTCTGATTTTGTCCTTATAACATAACTTATGTCTATTTACCTGTATCTGAGATTTAGATTAGGGGAAATAGGGGAAATTGAGGTAAATGTTTAAAATCTACCCCACTTCATAGGGGAAGAAGTTGCTGAAAGACAGAGCCAGTATTTGGAAATAGTTGCAGTATTTATTATATTTAATAAGAATATTTTACCCTAGATGATAGTTGCCTCATTGTCCCGATGAGTGATACAGGCCCTCTCGGCCCCTTGTTGTAATGTTATTGTTTTCTTGTGATATTAAGTGAAAAAATGAAGAGAACATTTAAGTCATATTGCCCTTCTTCCGTGGTAAGTTGTATTCATTCTGTCCATCAATCCTTAAACAATTCTTGTTAGCTCTTTTCCTCAAATGTTTTAGTGAAGGTTTTCCAGCATGGTCCCTAGTTAGGGTAACAAAGATGGTTGACAGCCGACCATCTTGCGTTTTGATTGTTAAAGTTTGTTAGGGCTTTTTCTCAGAAAGTAATGGAGAGATTTTTTTTTTAATCTGGGTTCCCTTTGTTACACGTTAGGAACTGAGCTAGTAAATAGGTGCAACAACTACCTCTGAAAGAACATAAACAGCAGTATGAAGATTTGATAAAAAAAAAAATACCACAACGTACATGTGCAGTTTACATGACTCAATCCAACAGATTGAAGAAGAGAAAAGGTCAATCATATAATGAAGATGATATGATGGTAGGAGCCAGTATCGATCTCAGATATCGTGTTTATTTTACTTCATTTGATTGTTCTATTATGATATGGAAATCAGAGTAATGAGGTGTTGGATAGGATGATTTACTGTTAGCGAGGGTCATTGGTTAACATTATATATATGTTGTGTTTATTACAGACAATTTAAAATCATGGATGATGATCAGAGCAGAAGTATAGATTTCAACGAATTCAAAAAAGGCATCCACGATTTTGGACTTGTAATGGATGCTGACGACGTCAAAACTGTTTTTGCTGTTTTTGACAAAGATAAATCTGGAACAATTGACTTTGATGAGTTCTTAGTTAATTTGAGGGTGAGTTCTATTGACAATGTCTGTTAAATGATGATAACAGTAAAGGGGTGACTGTTCAGCCTAAATTTATTACCGCAAAAGTCATCACATATGTTTTGAAGTACATGTTTAGCTTACCTGGTCTAAAGGACCGGCAAGCTTATGTTGGGGTGTGGCGCCAAGCATCCGTTCGTCAACTTTTCATTTAAAACTCTACTGGTCCTGAACGGCTCTGGGAAATCTGACTAAATTGGCCTGGATCATCCTTTGGTAAAGAGGACTCAGTTTTGTATAAACAGGGGATGTAGCCCTCCTGACAGCAGAGGGATGGGGCCAAATAGGGGAAAGTTAGGAAAATCTTTGAAATCCTTCTTCTTCAGTTTAAAACATCCTTAAGAAAGGGGGATTCCATTTTGTGTAAATGGAAGTTGGTGCTCCCCTTGGAGCAGATGGGTGGGGCCCATTGGGGAGAACATAGGGATAAATGTTTAAATCCTTCTTCTTCTGTATGAATAGAGGTATTTGACACTTACTTGGTGTAGAGCAAACTAGGGGCGAATGAGACTAAATTTGTGTAAATCAAAATGGAGGGTGTGGCTTTCCTTTGGGGCAGAGGAGCAGGGCCCTTTAGGGAGAACAAAGGGATAAATGAATTGAAGGATTTAAACCAAATTCGGTGTAGAGCATCCTTGGGCAAAGGGGACTAAATCATATATAGCCCTTCCTGTTGGTAGATGGGGCCAGGCCCTATAGGGGAAATTAAGGGAAATCTTAAAAATATTTTGATTTTGTACAAATTGAGGGATTTAAACCGAATTCAGTATAATGCATTCTTCGGAAAAGGGAACTTAATTTTGTATAAATGTAAAGACGATTCCCTGTGGGCAGAGGGATGGGGCCAAATAGATAACGGTGAAAAAAGTTAAAAATCCATCTTCTCCCATAAGTGTTCTAGGGCATCTCACCATTATCCGTGATTATGGTGGGGCTGACCCCCCAGGGGGCTGACGGGCAGGGCCAAAAGGGGTCAATTTGCCCATATTGCTTTAAGCGAATTCTTCTCTGAAACTAAGAAGTGGATATCAACCATATTTGACTGGAAGCATCCCTAGGTGGTGGTGATTAAAAATTGTACAAATGGTGGGGCTGACTCCCAAGGGGGGCTAAGGGGCGGGGCCAAAAGGGGGCAATTTGACTATATTGCTACAAACGACTTCTTCTGAAGAACTGTGCACTGGATATCAATCATATTTGATCAAAAGCATTCCTGGGAGGCAGGGATTTAAAATTGTACAAATGGTGTGGCTGACCCCCCAGGGAGCTGAGGGGCAGTGCCAAATAGGGTATTTGGCTATACTGATTTAAGTGACTTCTTCTCTGGAACTAAGTGATGGATATCAACCTTATTTGACTGGAAGCATCTCTAGGTGGTGGAGATTCAAAATTGTACAAACGGTTGGGCTGACCCCCCAGGGGGCTGAGGGGCGGGGCCAAAAGGGGGCAATTTGGTTATATTGCTATAAATGACTTCTTCTGCAGAACTATGCCATGGATATTGATCATATTTGGTCGGAAGTATTCATGGGAGGCAGGGATTCAAAATTGTACAAATGGTGGGGCTGACCCCCCGGGCTAAGGGGTGGGGCCAATAAAATGTATTACTTGGAAATGGTTGAGATCCCCACCATATAACCATATATACAATTGCTGAGTATAAAGAGAAGAATGCACATTTGCTTCCAGGATGTCCCTAGGGTCTGGCCCCACCCTTGGAGACATAGTCCCTGGGCCATAACTTTAAAACGGTTGAGATCCCCACCCCAAAACTATATATACAAATGCTGGGCATAAAGAGACGAATGCAATCATGATATCAGAATAGACCCTGGGGTCTGACCGAACCCCTAGGGACCTAGTTTCTTAGTCACAGCTTGGAAACAGTTGAGAGCCCCACCCTATAACCGTATATATACAATTGCTGAGTATAAAGAGATGATTGCACATATGCTTCCAGGTTGGCCTTGGGGACTGCCCCACCCTTGGAGACTTAACCCCTGGGTCATAACTTTGAAATGGTTAATATCCCCACCCCAAAACTATATATACAATTGTTGGGCATAAAGAGACGAATGCAGTCATGACATTAGAATTGATCCCAGGGTCTGCCCCACCCTTGCAGACTTGGCCCCTGGGTCATAACTTTGAAACGGTTGAGATCCCCACCCCAAAACTATATATACAAATGCTTGGCAAAAAGAGACAAATGCAGTCACGATATTAGAATCGATCCTGGGGTCTGGCCACAACTCTAGGGACCTAGTTTCTGAGTCAAAGCTTGGAAACAGTTGAGATCCCCACCCCATAACCATACATAAAATTGCTGGGCATGAACAATCTAATATAGCTCTGCTACAAGGATTGGCCTTGGGGTCTGGCATATTCCCTTGATCTCATTTGGAGAATAGTTTGCCATGATTGCTTAGGTATCCAGGTGAGCGATACAGGCCCTCTGGGCCTCTTGTTTTCATTAATGCAATACTTCATGCAATCAATGATGTTCATTGCAGTCATTGTTGAGTATGTTGAAATATCTCTCCTGTAACATCAATCACACGCAATATTTCACACATTCAATGCACATTATGTACCTCTTCCCGGTAACCTTGTTTTATTTACAATGCCTTTTATTAGTTTATTCTAGATAAATGAGTACAGTAACTTTTGGAACTATATCGATAGTATAACATACTATTGCAACATTTATCAATAATATAGTTTCAAATTTTTAGGTCACCTGAGACAAAGTCTCAAGTGACCTATTGCGATCGCCTTTTGTCCGTCGACGTCCGTCGTCCGTCGTCCGTCGTCCGTCGTGCGTCCGTAAACAATTTACATTTTCAACTTCTTCTCCAAAACCCCTGAACCAATTTCAATGAAATTTTGCAGGGACCTTCCATGGACAAAGGTCAACAAAAATAGTTGCCGGTTTAGTCCTACGCCCCCAGGGGCCTGAGGGGCGGGGCCAAAA